AAGCCCTGGGTGAGACAACTATTTCCATGAGAATTGGAACTTTCTCTCATCTAAATTTCTGAACTTTTTACCATTTGTGTTCCTGATCATTTCTTGATTTGACTCAGTTTATAAATGTGATATTTAACACTCAAATTGAACTTACTGACCAAAGACAGAGACTTGGCATGAATCAGTTTTAAAAATAAGAAAGAGAGAGGGCGAGAGAGAGAGATGAAAGAAGAAAAAGAAGAGGGGGAAAGGAAGGGAAGAAGAAAGGAAAGTCACAAAGTCACTTGAAAAAGTAAGTCATAAAGCTGTAGAAAGAAACCGATTAACCAGAACTTCCCACACAGTAACTTTAAGCCCAAGCTCAATGTTGCCCTGAACCAGCAAAATGGTAGTAATTATTTTAATGAGAACTCAGATTGTTTTCAGCGTTCTAGGACTGGGTTCTGCCCTGTTTCTGTTTCCTCTCTGGCCCTGAATCCGTTGCTAATAGACATGCTGACAACTGGATTTGCTGATAATTATGAAACAAAGTGCTGCTACTGTAGAGAAAAGAGAACTAGTCTGGGAGCTAAAAGACCCAAGATTTAGTCTACACTCTTGCGCTCATTTCCTGGAATGTGACACAAATTATTAGTCCTTTCTGGACCTCCATTTCCTTTTCTGCCAAATAAAGGACGTTCTAATTCTGCCATGCAGTGGCTGAAAAACAGAATATCAGACTTTTTTAGCAAACTCCAGGCACTCTGATGCAAGTGTGTGTGGGGGGTGGAAACAGTAAGGTACGGAAGTCTTGGGGTAGAGGAGTGAGGGCTACAGAATGTTCAGATTTCAAAGAAGCAAAGATTAAAGAGTCATCTGTCTTATACCTGCTAACACTGCGGCCAGGCCCTTTTCTTCATCCTTTGCTTATCTGGATCCATGTAGACCATAAGAAACAGTACCCTGGCTGAGGGAGAGCTAAGGAGGAAAGAACAGGGAACAGAACAAAGTTTATTCAAACTGAGAAGTAAGAAACGTCTGCCCTCTCCCTCTTCTCTTGCCAGAAAGTTCTATTGAAACTGGCTTCAGAACACTAATAAAAAAGTAAGTTGCAAATCAATGTGCACATTAAAATTTCATTTTTTATATAAGTAATGGGAAGAAAACGCCTCAGAATAGTAATAGTGGATACCTCACAGCAAAAATAATTTGTGTGCTTTTATAAAATTTCCATTTTTTTTTCACAATAACCCCCTTATGAACTCCTCACTCCACTCTTGATCCCCAAATCCCATTCATCATAGAGATCCTAGAATATCTTTTTCTAAAAGTATATATCAGGTCATGTGAATCTCTTGCTTAGAAACCACCAGTTGATTCCTATCACACTTATAACTACAAGCCAAACTTTACTGCAGTCAAGACTCTCCATGATTATTTGTCATAAGACTACCTCTAGAAACTTATTCCCTATCACCCTTTCTTCCTGGCCCAGTCTACTTCAGCTATTCTTTAAATTCCTGAAGCCCACTCCCACCTCAAAGACCTTCTACTTACTCTTCTGCTTCCTGGTATGTTCTTCCTGCAAGTTTTCACATGATTAATTTATTGTTATTCTCATTCTCAATTTCAAAGTGATATAAGCAAAGACGCTTTCCTTGATTCCCTTGTTTACATGAGTCCCTCACAGAAACCTGTACTCTTCCTGCATACCATTTGAATAATATGTCATTGCAATCAAACATACTTTTTTCTTTTTGCTATTTCACACTGATCTGCAAGCTTCTTGAGGATAGGGACCATGTCCCTCTTGCTCACCACTTAGCACTAGGGAGTATTTAACACCATTCATGAAACATATTAGGTGCTCAAGGTTGGCTGAATGAATGATTCTGTCAGTCAACATATATTACATTTGTAAGAAAGAAGAAAAGACAGAGGGCACATTTACTTGATAATTCCACCTCTATAGTACATCCTTGGTGGTATGTGTCCCCAGTACAAATGACCATTTCCAAAAAGAAACTGGTTCTAGAAAACGCACTTTATTCCTTAACAGTGTGAGTGTTAGATTTTTGTGCATACCCAGTGTCTAGGTCCTCTGAAAACTTGCTGATGAATTCATAAATACTAAATACCTATTTTGCCTCACAGGTCAGCTCCTTACCCAGGAATAATATTCTAAGCTTTCATTAGAAAGCAGAAACTTCCTTCGGTTTCTAACGAAGTGCATAAATTAGCTAGGAAGGACTTAGTTAAGAACACTGTGGTCTAGCCTCATCTATTATTTTCTGTTATGATAAATGGCAAAGAGGTTGCAATGCCAGTAAGTTGGTTTCAGAAGAACTACGACATCATACTATTTACTTACACTTTACACTCAAAGTCACACTTGAAAGAAAATTATTTGAATTCGATAATAAAGGTCATGGAATCAACTTAAATGCCTATAAATGATAGGCTGGATAAAGAAAATGTGGTACACATACACCATGGAATACTATGCACCCATAAAAAAGAATGAGATCATGTCCTTTGCAGGGACCTGGATGGAGCTGGAGTCCATTATCCTTAGTACACTAATGCAGGAACAGAAAACCAAATACGACATGTTCTCACTCATAAGTGAGAGCTAAATGATGACAAGACATGGACACATAGAGGGGAACAACACACAATAGGGCCTGTCAGGAAAAAAATAACTAATGAGTACTAGGCTTAATACCTGGGTGACAAAATAATCTGTACAACAAACCCATGACACGAGTTTACCTATTTAACAAACCTGCACATGTACCCCTGAACTTAAAATAAATGCTTAAAAATGTCTCTTATGAAAGCATCTGTCTGATGGACAATGTAACCATTAATATTTACACAATTAAGGGAAGGGAAATATATATTTGAGAGGTCTGGAGCCAACAAGAGTAAGAATCACAATCAACTGTCACTATGGAAAACAAGGATATTATGACCCATAAAAGCTACAGCTTAATCTGATTCCTGCAAATGACACTTGCCTCTATTAAGGACAAAGCGACATACAAATGGCCAACAAGCATATGAAAAAGTGCTCAGCATCACTAATCATCAGAGAAATGCCAATTAAAACCATAATGAGATATCCTCTTACATGGGTCAGAAGGGCTATCATTAAAAAGACAAAAAGAAAACCAAATATTGGCAAAGATGTGGAGAAAAAGGGAACTCTCATACACTGCTGGTAGGAATGTAAATTAGCACAACCTTCATGAAAACAGTATCAAGTTTTCTCAAAGAATTAACAATAGAAATTCCATTTAATCCAGCAATCCCTCTACTGAGTATCCACCAAAAAGAAAAGAAATGCTAAAATGACGTCTGCACTCATATTTATCACAGCACTATTAACAATAGCAAAGACATAGGACCAACAGATGATTGGATAAAATGTGGTACACACACACAGACACACACATACACACGAATACTATTCAGCCTTAAAAAAGAATTATATCACGTTTTTTCTTCAAAAACATGGATGAAAATGGAGGCCATCATCTTAAGTGAAACAACTCAGATACAGAAAAATACTACATGTTTTCACTTATAAGTGGAAGCTACACAATGTGTACACATGGACATAGAGTGTGGAATAATAGTAAACGGAGACTCAGAAGGGTGGGACAGAGATGGATGGTGAGAAATTACTTAATGGATTCAATGTACATTATCTGGCTGTTGGATACCCTAAAAGACGAGACTTCACCACTGTGCAATCTATTTATGAAACAAAATCACACTTGTACCCTATAAATGTATATAAAAGCTTTTCTTAAAAAAGAACAGAAGCAATTCCCTTTTTTGGAGGCTTTCCAAACAAGAAACGCTTTTCCGAAAAGGAAAGGCAGTGTTTGTCAGCAAAAATACCCTAGTAGGTAATGTTTTTCTTTCACAACACTCTCCTCTGTTCTTGTAATTGAGGGACTTCCATTTTTAATACAGGTCAGCACTCTCAGAGTTATAGAGAGGTTGTTATTTGAGGAATGGATCATAGGGCAGGGTAGGTGGGGAGGGTTGCTGGGAAACTGTCTCTCATGTTCCTAAGGTCCTGTTATTAATCTAAATTAATTTATTACTTAATGTGGTGAAAAACACTCTGGTAGTTATGTTTAAAGTTTAATCTTGCTTTATACTCACAATAGATTTCAAGATAAAGAACTGGAGTTCAGGGACAGTAAGTGACATGCCTATTGTCACACAGAAAATTATTGGTAAAGCTAGAGTATAAAATTAAGCTTGCTAACTTTATAAAGATCCTGTGGTACCATGAAAATTACTCTGCTAAAGGGGCTTCCAGTGGCCCTAAAACAAGCAGACATTGAGAGCCCCATTTGAGTATTACTCTGGTGCACTGCTGTCCTTAAATAAAGAATGAATATAGACACTTGTTGTACATAGGAAGTAAAAGAGGTAAGTATGGGCCCTTCTCTATCTGTCTTCGGAAGAAAAAAAAATAGATATGCTGATTTTTAAATATCAACGTGTATAACAAATTGGTACCTTGGACAATACTGATTATAGCATTTCTTTTACATTTTATAATGGTTAATTCTCTGTGTCCACTTGACCGGGCCAAGCATTGCCCAGATTCAACATTATATTGAGGTGTGCCTGTGAGGGTGTTTCTGAGTGGCATTAGCATTTGAACCAATGGACTCAGCAAAGTAGATTGCTCTCCCCAATATATATATTAGTGGGGAATATCCAATCCATTGATGACCTGAATAGTATAAAAGACGAAGGAAGGAGGAATTAACCCCTTTTGCTTCCTGTCTGCCTGCTTGAAGTGTAACATTCTTCTCTTGCTCTTGAACTGAAAATTAAACCATCAGCTCTCTTGGTTCTCAGGGCTTAGGACTTGGACTGAATCATGCCACTTGCTTTCTTGGGTCTCCAGCTTGTAGATGGCAGAGTATGAGATTATGAGCCTTCTCCGTCTCTATAATTGTGTGAGCCATTACCTCATAATAAATTTCTTCCGGGAGGAGCCCAGCCTGCGCTGCGCCACGATGTCCGGGGAGTCAGCCAGGAGCCTGGGGAAGGGAAGCGCGCCCCCGGGGCCGGTCCCGGAGGGCTCGATCCGCGTCTACAGCGTGAGGTTCTGCCCGTTTGCTGAGAGGACGCGTCTGGTCCTGAAGGCCAAAGGAATCAGGCATGAACTCATCAGTATCAACCTGAAAAATAAGCCTGAGTGGTTCTTTAAGAAAAATCCCTTTGGTCTGGTGCCAGTTCTGGAAAACAGTCAGGATCAGCTGTTCTGTGAGTCTCCCATCACCTGTGAGTACCTGGATGAGGCATACCCAGGGAAGAAGCTGTTGCCGGATGACTCCTATGAGAAAGCTTGCCAGAAGATGATCTTAGAGCTGTTTTCTAAGGTGCCATCCTTAGTAAGAAGCTTTATTAGAAGCCAAAATAAAGAAGACTATGCTGGCCTAAAAGAAGAATTTCGTAAAGAATTTATCGAGCTAGAGGAGGTTCTGAGTAATAAGAAGACGATGTTCTTTGGTGACAATTCTCCCTCTATGGTTGATTACCTCATCTGGCCCTGGTTTGAACGGCTGGAAGCAATGAAGTTATATGAGTGTGTAGACCACACTCCAAAACTTAAACTGTGGATGGCAGCCATGAGGGAAGATCCCACAGTCTCAGCCCTGCTCACTAGTGAGAAGGACTGGCAAGGTTTCCTAGAGCTTTACTTACAGAACTGTCCTGAGGCCTGTGACTATGGGCTCTGAAGGGGGCAGGAGTCAGCAATAAAGCTATGTCTGATGTTTTCCTTCACTAAAAATAAATAAATAAATAAATAAATAAATAAATAAATTTCTTCCTATGTAAATCTTCCTACTGAGGTAGGAGGCAGGACTTTGGTCCAGAGGTAAGACTCAGACACTAGACCAAATTGAGGACTAGCTAAAACAGGAACAAGGTGGAAGTAGCTTTCCATAAGATAAGCCCACCAGTGTGCCATGTTAGTTTACTGTTGCTATGGCAACACCTGGGAGTTACTGTGATGGCAACACTCAGGAGTCCCTGCACCTTTCCATGCAATGACTCAATGATCCAAAAGTTACTACCCTTTCCCTAGACATTTCTGCATTAATCACACCTTAATCTACATGTAATTAAAAGTGGGCATAAATATAAACGTAAAACTTCCCTGAGCTGTTACTATAAACACACTGCCTGTGGGGTAGCCCTGCTCTGTAGAAGTCACAGAGCAGTAACACTGCTGGAACTGTACCACCACCAGAGCTGTAACACTGCTGCTTCAATAAAGTTGTTTTCTTCTACCTCTCTCTTGTCCCTGAATTCTTTCCTGAGCAAAACCAAGAATCCTTGAGGGCTAAGCCCTATTTTGGCGCTACCCTGCCCTGCATCATTATTGGTTCTGCTCCTCTGGAGAACTCTGACTAATACACATTCTATGACCAGCTTTCATGTAAAATGCATACTAAAACTCCCTCTATGTTTGCCAGAAAAAGTTCAATTGTTGACTAGTACAGAAGGCGGCTTTATGTTCATAGTGTTTTAATTACAATATGAATTCCACAGTGCCATGGAGCACAAGTTTTAACATGTTATTTTGTTTTAAAATTCCCCGTAGTAATGTTAGTTTTGATATAACACCTGCCCATATGAAACAAATTCCTGAATGGGGGTGATTTACAATTAATTGTAGGTCAGCATTACATCATCTATGAGTGTCATGTAAAGATTCATTTTTCTTACCTCTGTTAGTCAAAGTGGTTCTTAACTCTGGCTGTGCATTTAGAATTGCATGGTGAAATGATTTTTTTTTTTTTTTTTAAATGAGGCTTAAAATTCTCCACCCAGGCATTTGATTTAAATTGTCTTGGGTATAGACCGAGGATACATTTGTCTTTCATTGATTTAAATATTAAATAATATAAAACTAATCATTTTAACATGTACAATTCAGTGGCATTTAGTGTATTTATAATGTCACACACCCATCACCTCTATCAAGTTCCAAAATATTTTCATTACCGCAAATGAAAACTCAATCATAAAGCAGTCACTCTGCATTCCTTCCTCTCCACAATCCTAGCAACCACCAATTTGCTTTCTGTCTCTATGGATTTACCTATTCTGGATATTTTATATAAATGGAATTAAAAAATATGTGACCTTTGGTGTCTGGATGCATTTATTCCGCATAATGTTTTTGATATCCATCTATGTTGTAGCATTTATCATCCCTTAATTACATTTTATGTTCAAATGATATTTTATTGTACAGATATACCACAATTAGTTTACCTATTCATCAGTTGACAGACATTTGGATTGTGAATGTGCAGTTATGGACATTAATATTGTTTGAGAACACCTGTTTCCCATTTTTGGGATATATATCTAAAATTATAATCACTGGGTCATATAGAATTCTATATTAAACTTTTGAGGAACAGCAAGATTATTTTTCAAAGTGGTTGCACCATTTTACATTCCTACCAGCAATCTATGAGGGTCTCAAGTTCTCCACATTCTGCACAACACTTGCTATTTTCCTTTCTAAAAAAAATATAGTCATCCCAGTGGATGTAAAGTGATTTCTCATTGTGGTTTTAGTTTGCATTTCTTTGATGGCTAATGACTTTGAACAACATTTTGTGTGCTTAGTGACCATTTATGTCTTCTTTTGTGAAGTATCTATTCAGATGTTTTGACCATTTTTTGACTGGGTTGTTTCTTTATTATTGAATTGTAAAAGTGCTTTATATATACTAGATAAAATCCCTTATCAGATGTAATCTACAACCTCTTTATCCCATTCTGTAGATGTTTTTCACTTTCTTGATAGTGCTATTTGATTCACAAAAGTTTTTAATTTTGATTAAGTCTAATTTATCTATTTTAATTTCATTTTGTGTGTTTTAGGCATCATATAAAGAATCCATTGCTAAATCCAAATTCATGGGAGTTTATCTTATGTTTTCTTCTAGTAGAACTTAATTCTTATATTTAAGCCTTTAATCAATTTCAAGCTAAATTTTGTATATCGAGCTAAATTTTGTATATTGTAAATTTTGTATATATTTTGTATATTTTGTGTGCCACTATCACACTGTTTTGATTACTGTAGAGTTGTAGTCAGTTTGAACTATAAGTTCTCCAAATTTGTTGTTCTTCCTTCAGATTGTGTTGGCTATTTGTGGATCTATGCAATTCCATACGAATTTTAGAATCACATTTTCTATTTCTGTGAAAAATATTTAGGATTTTGATTAGGATTGCAATTAATCGGTAGATTGCTTTGGAGAGTATTATCATCTTACCCATATTAATTCTTCCAATTCGTGAACATGGGATGCCTTTTCCAAAGTGACTGCACAATTTTACATCCCTAACAGCAATCTACGTGGGTTTTAATTTCTCCAAATCCTACTCAACACTTGTTATTTTAGGTCTTCTTTAATTTATTCTAGCAATGTTTTCTAGTTATCAGTGTACAAGCCTTGCAGATCATTGATTGAGTTTATTACTAGGTATTTTTTAATGATAGTGTAAGTGGTATTATTTTTTGTTTCATTTTTAGATTGTTCATTGCTGTTGTGTAGAATTGCAACTGATTTTGTCATGTTGATCTTGTATCCTAAAATATTGCCTGTTTGTTAGCTCTAGTCAGTTTCCTTGTGGATTCTTCAAAGTTTTTTATATGTAAGATCAATACATATAAAATGTTCTTTATATGTAAGAATAAATATAATTTTACTTAATCCTTTCTAATATGGATATATTTTATTTATTTTCTTGCCTAATTTATCTCACTAGAACCTCAAATACAATGCCAAACAGAAATGGTGAAAGCACGCATACTTGCCTTGTTTCTGATCTTTTTAACTATTAATATAATGTTAGGTTATTTTTATTTTTTATTTTTTTTGATGGAGTCTCGCTCTGTCGCCCAGGCTGGAGTGCAGTGGCGCAATCTAGGTTCACTGCAAGCTCTGCCTCCCTGGGTTCACACCATTCTCCTGCCTCAGCCTCCCGAGTAGCTGGGACTACAGGCACCCACCACCATGCCCGGCTAATTTTTTTTTGTATTTTTACTAGAGATGGGGTTTCACTGCGTTAGCCAGGTTGGTCTCGATCTCCTGAGCTCATGATCTGCCCACCTCGGCCTCCCAAAGTGCTGGGATTGCAGGCATGAGCCACCGCATCTGGCCTGTTATATACACACACACACACACACACATATATATATGTATACCCTTTTTCATGTTGAGAAACTACCAGTCTAGTGCTAATTGTTGAGTGTTTTTATCATGAAAGAGTGTTGAGTTTTCCCAATGCTTTTTCTCACTCTGTTATGATCACGTTTTGTTTTCCCCTTCATTCTGTTAATGTGGTGTATCACATCAATTGATTTCCATATGTTGAACAAATCTTGCATTCCTGGAATAAATTTGACTGGTCAGGCTGTATAATTATTTGAAAATGTTAGCAGATTCAATTCATTAGAATTTGGTTGAAGATTTTTGCATTTATTGCAAAGGAACCAAAGGATATTTGTCTATAATTTTCCTGTGATTTCTGTATCTGGGTTTTTTTTTTTTAATCCACATAATTATGACCTCATAGAATGAGTTAGGAAGTGCTTTTGCACTTTTGTTTTTTGGAAGGGTTTGAGAAGTATTGGTGTTCATTAAAAACTTGTTAGAATTCACAAGTAAAGCTATCTGGTCTTGTTTCTTTTTTCCCTTCCTTCTCCTTTCCTTCTCCCTCCCTTCTCCTTCCCTTCTCCTTCCCTTCTCCTTCCCTTCTCCTTCCCTTTCCTTTCCTTTCCAGAATTTTTGATTAATGATTTTATTTCTTTACTTATTATAGGCCTGTTATGTTCTATTTCTTCCTGAGTTAGTTTTTTTGTTTTGTTTTGTTTTGTTTTGTTTTTGAGACAGAGTCTCGCTCTGTCGCCCAGGCTGGAGTGCAGTGGCCAGATCTCAGCTCACTGCAAGCTCTGCCTCCCAGGTTTACACCATTCTCCTGCCTCAGCCTCCCGAGTAGCTGGGACTACAGGCACCCGCCACCTCACCCGGCTAGTTTTTTGTATTTTTAGTAGAGACGGGGTTTCACCGTGTTAGCCAAGATGGTCTCGATCTCCTGACCTCGTGATCCGCCCGTCTCGGCCTCCCAAAGTGCTGGGATTACAGACTTGAGCCACCACGCCCGGCCTGAGTTAGATAGTTTGTATGTTTCTAAACATTTGTTTTATCTGCGTTATCAAATTCATTGGTGTACAAGTGCTCATAATATAGTATTCTCTTAAAATCATATTTTTTCTCTAAAAATTGTATTTCTGTGTTTTCTTTTTGTGGTCTATTTGACTGCCTTCTTATTTTTGCCTTGTATTTTTGTTTGTTTGTTTGTTTTGTTTTATTCTGATTTTTGTAGTACTTACCCTGGGGATTATAAATAACATTTTAATCTTGTAACACTGAATTTTAAAAAATAATACTAGCTTGGTTTCAATAGTATAGGAGAGACTTATCTTCGACATAATCAGAAAAATATGTAAGAAAATTGAGAAGGATATACTTTCCTGAATTCGTGATTCAGTTTACTTTTTTTGAGGTTGTGTCACACCTATTTTACATTTTTGATAATACTTAATATAATTTCTTCTATAACTTACATCTAGCCCCAGTGTAGCATCTCTATGTCTTATGAAACAGTGCCAGTTGAGAGGATCTGTAGATAATTCCTTTTGTTCCCTGGGACCAAAGTACACTACAGTTGGGGGTGGGGAGTACTGTCTCTCACTGT